AAGCCTAGAAAATGCAAATTAATCAATAAAGATAGAAAGCAGACCAATGGTTTTCAGGGGACATGACAAAGGGTAAAAGAGATAGATTACAAAGGAGCATAAGAAAACTTTGAGGATGGTATGTATGTTCATTATTTTAATTGTGGTGATGGTTTCATGACTGTATACATGTCAAGATTCAACAAACTGTACACTTTAATTATCTGTAATTTATCATGTCAATTACTCAATAAAAATTTAACATAAAACAAGAAGACAATTGACTATACGAAGCAAAAATAATACTGCATTGTGAGGTTTATAACGTATATAAATATGAAATGTATGATGAAGAGAAAAGGGAAAAAATGAAAGTAAATATATAGTTTTAAGATTATTACAATACATCTAAAATGGTATATTATTTGAAGGTTCATTGAGTTAAAGCTGTATATGGGAAACCTAGGAGCAACTACTAAAAGAGAAAAAAGAGAAGTATAACTAATAATCCAATAGTAGAGATAAAATGGAATCATAAAAAGTATTCTACCAAAAAGGGGAAAAAAGGAAAATAGAACAAAGAGATGACACAAATAAAAAGAAATAGCAAGACGATAGATTTAAACTCAATCATATTTATAATCCTATTAAACCGTAAATTATCAAATGCTCCAGTTAAAAGCCAGAGGTTGTCAGATTGTATTTTTCAAAAATGCTGTCTATAGGAAACCCATTTTATATACAAAGGCACAAATAAGTTAAAAATAAAAGGATGGAAAAAGATATACCATGCAAACATGAATCATAAGAAAGTTGGAATGGCTATATTAATATCAAAGATTTCATAACAAGAAATATTACAAGGGATACAGGAAGACATCTCGCATTTACCAAGGGGTCAGTCTGTTAAAAGGACATACTTCTAAACACGTAAGCACCTAATAACAGAGTTTCCAAATGCTTGAGGCAAAAACTAAAGGAAAATAGAGCCACAATTTTATAGTTGAGATTCCAATATTCCCCTCTCAGTAAGTAATAAAAGAAAATCAATAAAGATATAGAACATTTGAACAAAACTATCAACTAATGACCTAATTGACATTTAGAAGATAACCCATTCCCAAAACAGCAGAATACACATTTTCCAAATGCACATGGAATATTCACCAAGACAGCCCATATGCTGGGCCATAAAAAAAAGTTTAAAATGTAAAAGAACTGGAATCATATAAAATGTTTTCTGTTCATAACAGAATAGAACTAGAAATCAATAATAGAGATGTATTTTAACAATCCCAAAATAGTTGGAAATTAACATACTTCAGAATAACCCACAGGTCAAAGAAGAAATCATAAAGAATTTGGAAAATAATTTGAACTGCATGAAAACAAAAACACAACAAAATCTGTGATATGCAGTTAAAGAATTACTTAGAAGGAAATTTATAGTATTAAGTGGTTAATTAAAAAAGAAGAAAGGTCTCAAATAAACAGTCTAGGCTTCCATCTTAAGAAACGAGAAAAAGAAGAGCAAATTAAATTTAAGGTAAGCATAGGAAAGAAAATAGAGCAAAAATCAATGAAAAAGAAAACAGAAAAACAATAAAGAAAATCAATGAAACTAAAACTGATAAACCTCTAGCAAGACTGAGCAGGAAACAATAGAGAAGACACGAATTACCAATACCAAGAAGGTAAGGAGGTGGGAATCATTGCACATCCTATAGAAATTAAAAAGATAATAAGAAAATACTATGAACAACTTTATGCCACTAAATTAAAAACTTACATAAAATGGATAAATTACTTGAAAAATAAAATACTAGGCTCATTCAGGAAAAAACAGATAACCTAAATTGCCCTATATCTATTAAAGAAGTTGACTATATAATTAAAATCTTCCAACAAAGAAAATTCCAGGCCCAAATGGCTTGCCTAGTGAATCCTATAAAAAATGTAAGGAAGAAACAATACCAATTCTATGCAAATTATTCCACAAAATACAAGAGAGAACACTCCCCAACTCTTTTTATGAAGTCTGCATTACCCTGATACCAAAATCAAAGGTATTTTTTAAAAAAGGAAATTATAGGATATTTTTAAGTGATCATCTGGTATGACATGATTAAACTAGAATATCTAATGTGATAAGTAATATACAACAGATTCTAGGCTAGAATATTTATAGAATAATCTAAGTATGGATGTGTGCAATAGTGTATACACACAAAGATGTACAAAATGAGGATTTCAGGTGATATTTACTTGATTTGTTATACTTTCCCGTTTTGTTTGAATTTCTTATGATGAGTATGGATCATTTTTATAATGAGAATAAAATACGGTTATCTTCATTTTTAAAACGTAATACATGTTCCCTTGCCAAGGGTCTGAAAGATGTAAAGATCAAAACAAAAATCAGATGACTAAAGAAGTAACAAAATGAGCCACTGCTGTTCCCCTAGTCACAGGTCTCAAATCAACATTCTGCTGTATCTGGGAGTGAAAACACAAAATTCTCCAGACTACCATACCCTTTTTCTGCTCCAACCTACATAGCTCTCTGCTAATCGCAAAGTTCAAATGCCCAGACCAGTCTCCTAAAGAGTGTGAGGAAACTTCATCTAAATACACATTATAATAAAAGGTAATATAAACCCAAAGCAGTCTCAGCCTGGCACAAGTTCAAAGCAGTTGTCATCCCCCTGTTGGTTGAGAAGCATTTCCCCTACAGCACCCTTAGGCTACTTCTTAATTTTCTCTATTCTCATATCCTGGATTCCTAGGAAAAAAAACAAATCTCATCTTGCCTGAGCTCTGGTTCTGACTTCAATTTAAAGCTGCCCCTCCTAGTACTGGCTCACTTCCTGAGCAGGAAGTCCACTGAGCTCTGTCCACAGCATTCCCCTGGCTGCCTTTCTTCCAGCTTCAGGTCCCTGTTTTCTTCAACTCCCATCTCATACCTTGGATTCTAAACTCCCAAACCTGTCTAACCTGGCCTTTTCTGATGGGCTGCTCTCTTAACTCTCCACTTAGGAGAACTCATCTTGGGTTCACCCTTCGCATCATCTATCTCTAAAGCAGAGAGAGAAAAACTGAGCTGAAGATCACAGATGTGTTTTGTTTAGCTACAAAGCATGTTTAATTTTATTTAGTTCTTGACATGAAAAAGCAAGATATTTTAAATTGAAACCCTGTGCACTGTTGGTGGGAATGTAAAATGGTAGTCTCTATGTACCATTTAAACAGTATGCCGGTTCCTCAAAAATTTAAAAATAAAGTTACCATATGACCCAGCGATTCCATTTCTGAGTATATACCCCAAAGAACTGAAAGCAGGGACTCGAAGAGATTATACCCATGTTCATAGACAGCATCATTATTCACAATAGTTAAAAGGTAGAAGTGTCCACTGAGAGATGAACGGATAAGCAAAATGTGGTCAATACATACAGTAGAATATTATTCAGCCTTAAAAAGAAAGGATATTCTGACACATGCTATGACATGGATAAACTTTGAGGACATTATGCTAAGTGAAATAAGCCAGTCAGAAAAGAATAAATATTGTATGATGCCACTTATTTGAGATACTTAGAATAGTCAAAATCATAGAAACAGAAGTAGAATGGTGGTTGCTAGGGGCTGAGGGGGATAGGGGAAAAGAACTTAGTGTTTAATAGGTACAGAGTTGCAGATTTGCAAGACGAAAAAGTTCTGGGAACTGGTTACACAATAAGTAAATGTACTTAATTCCATTGAACTGTGCATTTAAAAATGGCTAAGATAGTAAAATTATGTTATATGTATTTCATCACGATTTTAAAATATCAGATTTCATGTAAAAAATCAGTATTTTGGGCTTCATTTGAAAAAAAATCAGGTCTGATAACCATTGGACCTAGAATCTTGTATGTCAACTATCTCCAGTTTATCAATGACCCTACTGCCTTACCTCATTCTTCTATCTGTTTGACCTCCTTAAGATGTGGGTTTGTGGTTCCTGCCCTAAACCCAGAGCATCACTTTTCATAGTACAGCCCTCCAATGTCAGCCCCCAGCTGGGCAAGGATCTTCTCTTTGGTTGAAGGGCCAGCATCCTCACCCCTCAGCGATTGATGATCAAGACCATCTTGAAAAAGCTCTGTGCCAAACCTTGTCCAAAACACTCTGCCTTTCCTCTTTACATCTCAATTTATGTAAATACTGTTCTTCTCTACTCCTCTCTTATCCATGAAGCCTTCTCTATTGACTCTAATTTGCAAGAGGTTCTTCCTTCTCTCATGTACCGTAGCATTTAGCATCTGTAGTACTAGTTACCATGTATGTATACATCTGATCTACCCAGTTACACTTCAAGCCCCTCATTCATTCAACAAATATCAAGCAGTTACTCAAGGCCAAATATCGTTCTAGGCACTGCAGAATACAGAAAGACATGGTCCCTGCCATCTTAGAGCTGACTTTCCAGTGGGCAAAGTAAGTAATAAGTAAATCATATCAGATATTGATGAACACTGAAAGGGGAAAGTAAAGCAAGGTAATGAGATAGGGAGTGACTGGGTCGGGTAGAGGCTACTTTAGACAGAGTGATCAGTGAGATGTCTTTGAAAAAGTGTATTGAGGGGAGACCTGAATATTAAGAGGGAGCCAGCCATGAGAAGACCATGCGAAAAAGCGCTCCAGCCAAAGGGAACAGCAAGTGCAAAGACTCAATTTCAGGAATAGAAATAGCCAGTGTGGCGAAAGCATACGAAGTGAGGAAATGCAGCAATATAATATTAAGTCAAGAGTCATGAAGGGGCTTAGATTCTATTCTGCATGGTGACTTACCAGAGGGTATTCAATATTTTATATCTTCTAATATTTTAAGAGCAGGCATTGAATAAAGATTTGAGTATCATCACCGTTTACTTGTTTGAAAATACCCACAGTTACTTTCGATCCCAATCATCTCCTTTTTACTGGATGACTTTACCCTCCTTCAGCACTTCTTCAGCACCGTTATCTGAACTGCTCACCCCTTTAATGAAGGTAGGTTTGTCCTTTATGCCAAAGTTCCAGAGCATGATATCTCCCCCTTTGGAACCTACAGCCAGGGTGCTGGGGTGAGTTGGGTGCCATGCCAAGGATGTGGCCCTCCTGTCAAAGGGGGCAGCCTTTTGGAATATCCGGTAAGAAGCCAGAGACTGCAAAAAGGAATGCTGGAGACTCTGACACAGAGAGAAAAGAATTAAGTTGAATTAAAACCCAAGTCATAGGTAAATTGCTAATCTCTGCCTCCTTCACAGATGAGCCCTGGGGCCAAATCCTCCCACCAAGGGAAAACTAACTTCCTGGCTCTGTGCATGAAAATATGTGCAATATACACAAACTAATCCAGGAAAGCAAAAGGGCAGAGTACATTCCAGTTGGGACCTCCAGAGCGTAAGACTTCCACCTGGCTGAATGTCTGGTAGGCCGGTCACCAAAGTGGGGGTGATCTGACCACTCTGACAACCCACTGAACCAATCCAGCATCTAAGTTCGGAGCATCCAGTTATAAAAAGGCACCCATGCAAACCTTTGAGCACTTCAGCCAGGAAACTCCTCACCTGCTGTAGTGATGGCCAAGCAGCTTTGCCCACTTTATGGTGATAGAGGGCCCTGACGATATTCCTGCATGGTGGTGAGACCTGCAGGCTAGCCAACCCCGCCCAAAGGCAGCCTGAGTCAAATCTTCTGCTAGAACCTGCCAAGTGGAACAGACACATGTTTTCTCCTCCGATTTCACTCAAGAAAGGTTTTTCTGCCGAAATCCCAGAAAGAAGGCCTTGTTGTTTCACCTGGCATAGCCAGTATCTCTCATTACCTCATAAGGCTTTTCCATGGTCTGCTCAGTCTCAACCAACACAAGAAATAAATAGTGCACAGAGACTCAGCCCCTTCCTCAAAATAGTAATTCTGAAGTGAAAGTATGATCTTGCAGGGCTCATGAGAGCTGAGCCAAAGAAACACACAATAATAAAATACGTTAAGAGCGCTTCCCAGCTTGGGTTGGAAAAACTCAGGATAAGGTTGAGTGACGATTTTAAAATCACATATAATGCACAATAAAAAGATTTTACAACAGTACAGTAGAAGTGACTGGAAAAGAAGGATCTTTAAATTGTTAAAATAATGTAGGGGTGACCAGATGTTGGCCCCAAATCCAATCTGTTCTCCCGAAAACCAGCAGGATCCAGAGCATCTGGCATGGCTCTAAATAAAGGAGGCTACTTTTGGGGAGTGAGATCCAGTTGAGACTAGTAATGAAACAATTCTGGATTACCGAGATGTATTTGAGAATCTGATCTCCATGAATCTGGCCTCCTGACAACCAATTCTTCTCGTGGACAAAAAATATTTCAACCCCCTGCTCCAATCCTTTGAGTTCCCCCACACTCCTTATAGCCCTAGGTTTAATCTCCAATAACCCTCAGGGAATGTTTTCTCAATGGAAGGAAATTGAGGACCCTCACAGCTAAAACTGGGGACATACAGCTAACAACCGTGACTACCGAAATTCAGCACGCGCGCGCACACACACACACACACACTGCCAGGCTGGGTAGGATTATTTTAAGTAGTTCTCGGTGTGTAAAAATCCTGGTACAAACAAGAAATTTGGAGTCCATTGTGTCTTATATAATGGAGCTTATCGGCCTCGCCCGTCACCTGAGGTAGGTTAAGCCCAATCTCTATGGTGTCAAAGGCCCTGCAGACAAAATGCACATTCTGAGGCATCTCAAATTTGGGACAGCCTCGGGACCTAGAAGCACCCATCCCCCACTCCAGCATCCTGCGTGAGAACCCCAAATGGCGGAATTATTAAAGCAGCAGGCACAGGCAGTACCGGGGCCCTTCACACAGAGCTTCTTGGCCTCGGGCTCCAACTCTCGGGGGCTTCTGTTCCTCTTGCTCTTGCGGCGCACGACCACCTCAGGGGTCTTCCGGGTTTCTGGGCGTTTCCTGGAAGCCATCGCGTCCTCCGTGCGAAGGGGTACTACACCCTATGCCGAGATTAGAGAGGTAAGACTGAAAACCCTCTGGGGAGAAAAAAGGCGGGGACCGGGGAACTGGTCCAACTTCCCGCCAAACAAGCCAGCTTCCCGCCAAACAAGCTCACGGCTTCCTAACCGGCTTCTAGTTCCGGCCCCGCCCTCCTGTAAGAGGTCCCGCCTCTTTCGGGAAGGCAGGGGTGCGCACGGAGAGATGGGAAGGGTATGAAGGGTGGCGCTCTTGGGCTCGCTAGAGAAACGGGATATAGCCTAAGTGTTGGCCCTAATCCAGTCCAAAGTCAGCTGACCTGCCAGAAATAAAGATGGCAGCCAGTGCTAGGCCACCCAACCTGAAGCCGCTTCAGACGCAGCGCTGCCAGGCTTCTGCGGGTCACAGGAGATCAGGTACCAATCAAGGCTTCGGCTCCGCCTTCCTTGTCTTTTAATTGGTGACCACTCCCGCTCGAGCTTTGGGATTGGCTGATTCTCAGTTGGAGTGAGAAGGCTTTGTAGAAAGCTTGTTACTTCGCTACGGTGGAAACCAAGCTCTTCCCAAGTGCAAGCTTTGCGATGAGTGTCGAGTAGTTACAGTTCTCCCGCTTAGTGGAATTTTAGCTTCTCTATGGAGAGCGATTGAAACTCGCAGCTTTTAACTGAGCTTTTTCCCACACTTGCTGAGTGTCCTTCTAGGCAGCAGCCTAGGGCGATAATGGGCCGGAGGGCGTGCGGGCTAACCCGGCTTAGAGGGCTTATGTGCCCAGACTTCAGCCAAACGCCAAGGCAGCGAGCCTCAGGTGTTGCTGCGCTGTCCCACCGATCTAAGAGGAGACAGTTCGGATGCAACTTTCTGCGACGAATCAGGCAGGAGCTAGGTTCAGTCGGAGACTGCTGGGCCTTTTCTTCCACCCGCTCGGTAGAACCTGCACTCAAGTACAGATACAGATGAAAGACATTTCAAAATATAAGTTTTAGAAAGAAATGAATGCTCCAGAAGGAAAATTCGAAAATGCTTTTCTGATGGGAAGGTCACTTCAGGGTGTTATTAATGGTGACCACCAGGGGAGCGAGCTGGTGGCTTCTCCTCTGCTTGCTAGTAGCTTTGTTTTCAGAGCTGTGTTACAAAAGCAAGCTTGTTCTCTTTACTCAGAACCGCCAATAGTTTCACCTCAGTAGGCTGCTCATTTCTGGGGGATATTGAAATACCCTAAAAGGTTTAAAACCTACTCAGAAGAGAAGAAAAATAATATGAAACAAGTCAAACAATTGAAGATAGAACATAGTTGAGTACTAAATTGTGGCATGCCAACCAAGACTTTCAGATGCATTCAGAAAAGATAATCAAATGGAGAAAGTATTTAGAGAAGCCTCACAGGGGAACTGGAATTTCATAGAGTTGGCCAGGAGAGGGAGGTGGAGAAATAGCTCGATAAAAGTTAGGAATGGGGGTGGGTTATGAGAAAGAGAAAAGCAACCCCTGGCATCTTGGAGCTGGCTTGGTAGTGGCAGGCCTTGGTGTTTTGTGGAAATAAATTCACAATAAACAACACCAGACAAGGCCACTCTGTGACTGTGATAGATCAACGCAAAAACATCGTCACTCACATCTGAACACAGGCAAAAGTATGAACATCGTCCAAACAACAAAAATGACCAAAGCATCCCCCTATTATTTTGGCTAATATGAATGACTGCAGCTTCTTTGCCAATCACAGCTTGAGCTTTGCTTCATTCCTCTCACCTTACAGATAGAATTTATTGATATCCAATCTTGGAATTACTTCCATTTCCTGACAGCCTCCAATCCAGAGCAAAGCCCCACTTCTTTGAACCCTTATCCAAATCATCCAACACAAACTAAGCCTATAAGTTCTTTCTAATACCTTACAGAGATGTTCCTTCATTCCCCATGGTATACATCCTCTGTAGCTATGAGTGGTAAACCCAAGGTTCAACCGTATACAGGAGTGTTCCTGATGGTGTTTGGCTTGGGGACATTAACATTTATGAGTAGAGTAAGAGACAGCTTGAAGAGGATAAGATTGATTTCATTGAAGATCTGTGCAAAATAAGAGAGGCCAAATAAAGGGAGAGGTTGAATAGCAGGTAGAAGAATTTAAATTTCATATATTCTACTGACATCAAAAATCTACTCTGTTCCTGGCCCTATCCTAGTTAAAGAGAATGCTAAAATGAAAAATGCTCTTTGCCCCCATGGAGTGTGCCTTTTATTAGACAAGGAAACCTACAGCTATCGTAGAGGGTGGGAGACACAGGAAAAGAACATTTTAACTCATCTTGGAATGGGTCAAAGAAGGGACAGTGTCAAAGAAGTCTTCCCAGAGAAGGTGACACTTAAGCTGAATTTTGAGAGATGGGGAGGGGAGAAGGGGCGAGCATTCTAGGCAGAGGAAGTAAGAAATGGAAAGGCAGGGAGGTGATACTTAGCCATGATGGATTCATGAGCAAAGGAAATTTCTTGCTTAATGCCAGGTTTCCCCAGAATCCACTTTTAGGATTGGGGAGTTTCCCATGGTGGATTAAACAAACTACATGTGACCAGTGGAAACCTGCCTCTCACAGGCCAGTAAAGTGCTTTGTTTCAGGTTGTGCTTTCAGGCGTTCTTACCCTGGGTTTTGCTTTGTTTCAACCACAAAATAACTGCCTAGGGGCTTGATGTCATCTATTCCCATCTGATGAATATCAGGTACAGGGAGGACAGAAACCTTTAATACACATTTTTTGATGCTGCTAATCTGATAATGAGGTGAATGGTGCAGCATTGCTCTGGTTTCATGCCATGGAGTGGCCGTGCCATGAAACCCCGTTTATAGTTGTTTTGGTCCTATTCGTGACACTACCTTTGACATAAGGCATCACAAGGCAATTCATTCAAAAGTTGCTGGTGATAGCAAATCAAGGTCTCGTGTTTGCACTGGAGGCGGGGCAGACCAAAGGCATGACCCTAAATAATGCCAGTTTCTTTGATATGCAAAACAATATGTGGCTTAAGTGTTTTCTGGAACAAAAAATATAGCACAGTGAGAAGAGCATTATTCTTAGACTATGTGATCTTGGGTTCATCATTTCATTTTTTTGTGCCTAAATCAAGGGGAGGGACTAAGTGGCTGAGATCTCTTCCAGCTTTAAAATCCGTGATCCTGTAACTTGCTGTTAAAATAGCAGAAACCAGTGACTGCTTTGAACTCTGGCCTCCCTGTGGGAAATTTCCATCTAGCAGGAATCATTTTCCTGGTGCAGGCTGATACATGACTAGGATTCTGATCAAGCTGTCTATGGATCCAAACACTCTGCTGAGTCTTCAAAACTATCTCTAATCCATGCGGATGGTGTGTGCAGGCTTCCCACACAGCTACTGCATCCAGTGGTTTGCAAATAACAGCCTCAAGGATTGGAAACGGACTGAATACAGCATCCAGAGTCCTTGTTGCTAGGCACCTGCAATACATATTTAAATGCCCGAATATGAATACATTCATAATAATGCTAAATGAAGGCATGACTCCCACCCTCTGAGAATTCTGGCATTCTTTTCAAAAATACAATTTTGAGTAGCTTTGGAAGTGTAAGACAGCTGTGTAAATACCAAAAAACCCACCTTCTGTCTTTACTGCGAGGGATGAAGCGCCATCCCTACACTAAATCAACATCCTGTCATGAAATACCATAGGTACAGGATGCCAGGAAACTTCCCTAGGCAGCCAGATTCTCAGGGCATTTGCCTGAGTGCTAAGATAATGTATGTGAAAGTACTTTGCAGACTGTAAAGTGTTCTATAAATAGAAGTTGTTATATAATCTCCTGACAATGCTTGTTTACTGATCTGATAAGTTCTGATAAAGGTGGTGAGGAGATTCTTTGCTGTTCTAAAGAGTTCTCACCAATCAGATAGCCATCATGGAAAGAGTGGGGACCAGAGAATCAGAAACCAGTGTTTTGAGTTCTGGCAGTAACTTCTACTCACTCTTCTAATGCCAACGAAGACTGCAAAAATCCCAAGCAGCAGAAATGAAAATGGTTCTCTCGGTGTGACAGTTAGGCCAGTTGCCTATGAGTGGATGTGTCACATGCTAGTGGGACCAGGAGAACTACATTTGCATTCCTTTACATTCCCCTCATCCCACTCCCTTCTCCACTGCCCAGCTTTGGCTCCTGTCCCTACTATGACATATTAACTCCAGGAGCATGTGACAAAACACTTGCCTAAGGAACCCCAGCTAAGTTTGTCCCTATAGAGGAAGGCAGTGAGCTGTCCGAGTACCTGTGGCTCTTGGTGAAGCCAATAGCCTGGAGGGAATGAGGGAGGTATCATTGCACAACTCTACACGCACTTTCTGCAACATTCCAAACTCTGAGTGGGCATCTTCCCAGACACGTTTACTGTACACTACTCTTTGTGCCTGACTATCCCTGTGTCATAAGACCCCAGAATCTGAGAGTTTTTTCATAATTATATGCAGTCTAGAAGACCAATCCACATTTCTGTTGGCAGCATTTAGGCCCTTGATCCATTCTGCAAAGAGACATATTTGTGAAACTGGATGAGGAGAAACTTTGAAAGACAGCTACTTTTTAAGTTCAAGAAGTTGTGTTTTTTATTTTTTTTTCATCAGAAATTCAAGAAGTTTTTTTTACTAGATTTCCAAGGCTAACAGCTGTGGCCTCCTCTAGCCCCGTGTGGTGGGCTGAATGGTGATCCCTGAAAATATATATCCACATCCTAATCCCTAGAACTTGTGGATGTTACTTTATTTAGCAAAATGATCTTTGCAGATGTAGTTAAGGATTTTAAGATAAGGAGCTCATCCTGGATTATCTGAGTAGGCCCTAAATCCAGTGGCAAGTATCCTTACAAGAATAAGGCAAAGGTAGATGAAATAGCCGTAGAGACAGAGACAGATTCACAGAGAAGATGATGTTAGATAGAGGCAGAGATTGGAGTTATATGGCTAAAACCCTAAGGATGCCAAAGATTGCCAGACTGCTAGCAGCCACCAGAAGCTGGGAGAAAGGCAGGTAAAGACTCACCCCCAGAGCCTGGGGAGGGAGTGTATACCTGCTAACAGTTTGATTTGGGATTTCTGGCCTCCAGAACTGT